CGCGGGGGTAAGCGGCCAGTGCACGCACCCACCTCACCTACTTAGCACCAGTGCTCACTTGGGGAGACACGCTGTTTGGAGGCCATAAGCACAGCAGACACAGACCCGACCGGGAGCGCGTGCACCTGAGCGCGCCTCCGCATGACCCTGGACATGACCTTGCTCTGTCCACGTATCGTGGAAATTGTTTTAATGGAAATGGTTCCTGCGTCAATTGTATGGTCTTACACACAATTGAACATACAATTGAACCTCTGAACCAAGGCTGCAAGAGGGCCCTTCAGACTAGACGCCCTGCACCTCCTGGGAGGCTCGCACACGGACGTGGACACAGACAGACGCACGTAGAAACGGACACAGAGACATGGACAGACTGACGGACACACACGAACAGACACAGGTCTACTGCCATGTCTCCCCAGGCTCCTCTGGTCGTGGTTTCCCGACCCCGTTGTCCTCAAGGAGGGCTCTGGGACGTGTGCGAGGTCCCTCCGGGAAGGCCTGGAGCCACGGGCTCGGGAGGTGAGCTGGGGTCCCCATGCTGGCTTCTGGAGGGAAGCTGGCGTGTTCGTCCGACGGCTCCTCACGCGTCCTCCCCGCCTCCTGTTCTCCAGCTGGAGTAGGGTTTGCTGAGGTGTCTGTCTTGGGGGGGTTCATTCTGCTGGTGGTGCCCCGAGCTTCCTGGTTTGTGGTTTGAGTCTCATTAACTCTGGAAGATTCCAGGCACTTTCACGGCAAATGGGTCCTCTCCCTTCTTCCCTCCTCCTCCTGGAATTCTTAGCTGCGCGTGTGTGGGTCCATGGTGTCCTGGGGCTTCCCTGCTCCAGGCCACCGATTCCGTCTACTTTTCCCACCAGAGCCCCTCACACGCTCATCACTGGCATCTTAAATCCCAGGCCCCAGGGGCACCTGGGTGGCTCCATCGGGTCAATGTCCGGCTCTTGATTCTGGCTCGGGTCACGATCTCACGGTTCGTGGGATGGATCCCCGAGTAGGGCTCTGCACTGACAGATCGGAGCCTGCTTGGGATTCTCTCTCTCTCCCTCTCTCTGCCAAACTGTTAAAAACTGAGAGTGATAAAAAGCAAATCCCAGTCCCCAAATTCTAAAATCCCTGCTGTGTCTCGTAGAGTCTTGTCTGGTGGTGGCGTTTCCCAGATGGCGGTGTATCTTGTGGCTCATGTTGAAAGCCGGACACCTGTGCGGGGTAAGTGGCACCGGGCGAGGAAGGCCTTTCTGATGGGCTTTGTGTTCTTTTGGCCAGAGACAGGCTGCGCTTGCCGGTGGCCTCGGCACCAGGGCTCAGAGGCCGTGTCGTCTCCCCTTCTGGCTCTGGGCGTCCCTGTGTCTGCAGGCGGCCACACGTGCGGGACGGAGCGTCTGGGACCTTTCCTCCGGGGCACGGTGTCCCACACTCAGCCCAGGCCTGCCCTGATGGGGACCAGTCACCGTGGGGACCGAGCCCTCCTCTCAGGTGGAGGCGTTTGCATCCTCACCAGGAGAACCTGGTATGGTTCCTGGAGGCAAAACCGTGAAGATGCGGAGTCTGTCCTTGCTCAGCCTTCGTCAACTCGTGAAAATGACCATCAGGTGTTTCTGCCAGTTTCTGGGTGCCAGTGACCCTCTGTCTCCGTAGACTCAAAGTGGCTGTTTCCCTGTGACCTCAGTCCTCTGGTGTGGACGAGGACAGTGTGAGGACCATCCTTCTCACGGGGTCCAGGACGCAGGACCCCCCCCCCCCCCCCCCCCCCCCCGCTGGGGGGGAAGCCGGGGGGGTTTGGCCGTTAACCTGGGGGCCAGAGACTTTGCTCCCGAAGGACAGGCTGGTCCTACCTTCCGTTCCCGCCCTATCCTGTGGTGACCCTTCTACCTCCTGTCCCCCTCACGGCTTCCCCTCCAACTGCAGGTGGGGCTGGAGGGCACACGGGTTTTCAGGCACGTCAGGGGCTCGGCCCCCAGGAGACGTGCAGGGACCTGAGGTGTCCTTCCCTCTCCCAATACCCCCCTGCCCCTGGACCCCACACATCCTGCAACCCAGGGCCATATAGGACAGACGTGGGCTGACTTGGGCAAGGCAGCACCTGACTGTGACATGGCAAGTCTGGGCCTGGGTGTCCAGCTGGTGGCCGCCAACCGCCGGGCCTGTGGGGCCCCTGAAACCTGCCCTCCGCAGACATGTGGAAGGACACAGCGCAGGGCAAGGGACGCAGAGCATCTTGGCAACAACTTTACATTTCGGTTACATTTTGGCCAAAATTACACTTGGGGTACGTTGGCTTAAATGGCATATTATTAAAGCTAACGACATCTGTTTCTTTTTGGGCTTTTATTTATTTATTTTTATGTTTATTTTTGAGAGAAAGAGAGGGAGACAGAGCGCCAGCAGGGGAGGGGCAGAGAGAGAGAGGGAGACACAGAATGAGAAGCAGGCTCTGGGCTCTGACCTGTCAGCACAGAGCCCAATGTGGGTCTTGAGCTCCTGGACCATGAGATCATGACCTGTGCTGAAGTCGGACGCTCAACCGAGCCGCCCAGGCGCTCGTTTTTGTTTTTGTTTTTGTTTTAATGTGACTATTAGAAAATCTAGTTTTATATATGTCTTGCGGTGCATTCTCTTGGATGGGCTAGTCCTGACAGAACCATCTGGGTGATGAATCCTTGCGCCTTTGATTTATGAATAAAGTTTTTGAGGAAGATAATGCAAAGGACTTTGCTAATTTTGTGGTCCTGCCTGGAAAGGCTCATGGTACCAGTTCACTAAATTATAAACATTACAGTCTTGGGTAAGATGTTGCACATAGAGACAACCTTGGCCCACAGGTGGACGGACACGCGCACACATGTCCAGGTGCAGGCAGAGAAGCAGAGGGTCCACGCTGCGGAGACACAGTGAGGCCTCCCCGAGAGCCGACCCCGTGGCCGGGGGCCGCCCCCAAGCCCCGCACGCCGCTTGTGGTGGGTGGGGGAGAAGGCCCACGGCCCCACTAGGGGGTCTCCTCCCGAGGCTCTAGGAAGATGGGCACTGGACAGGCTGTCAGCCCTGGAGGCCCTGAGGGCCGCCCTTGCGGGGCACCCTGTTGGGTGAAGGCTGGCAGGTCCTGGAGAGCAGCGCGCCCGTCTTGCTGGCTCACGGGTTTGTGTTCGTGGCTTCGCACGTGGTGCGGCAGACCCGGGCATCAAAAAACATACTTTTTGGGGCACCTGGGTGGCTCAGTCGGCTAAGCGTCCAACCCTTGATATCAGTTCAGGTCACGATCTCATGGTTGTGAGATCGAGCCCCACGTTGGGCTCTGTGCTGACAGCACGGAGCCTGCTTGGGGTTCTGGCTCTCCCTCTGCCCCTCCCCTGCTGTGTGTGCTTGTGCTCTCTCTCTCCCCCCTCCCACACACACACTCTCTCTCTCTCTCTCTCTCTCTCTCAAAACAAATAAACTTAAAAAAAATAAACACTCTTGCGCAAGGAGCAGAGGCCCACCTCTCCAGAGTACGTCTAAGACAGAAACACCAACCGCACAGCAAACGGACTCAAACTAACCTGCTCCTGACGGTTAGCTGGATCCGTGGAGTGAGGGGAGCAGGCAGGCCAGACCCCCAGACCGGTGCTCCTCGCAGAGAGGAGAGGCTGGCCGCACTCCCTCCTGGACTCGTACAGCTGCTCAGGGCCAGGCCCTGGCGGAGCTACCTGCGCTGGGGGGGAGGGGGGGGCAGACGGCAGTGAGCGCAGCCACCGCCCATCCGGAGGCGGCTTGGCGTGGTGTGCCACGGGCCCTAGTGGGGGCTGCCCTGCCGGCTGCCTGGGAGGGTGCCGGCGGCTGGGGCCTCTGCCGGGTGGCTCCGGGGACTGGAGCGGTGCAGGCCTGGCTGCGCGAGGCCGTGCTGGGGTGCAGTGGGGGCAGGGCAGGCCGCCGTGTAGACACGGGTGGAGGGAGGAGCACGTGGGCTGGCGTGTTTGTTTCCTCTGTCCTGACGACGCGCGGCCTTAGCCCGTCGGAGGGCTCGGGCCTTAGGGACCGCGATGAGCCCAGCCCCACGGTGCAGGGGGGAGATGGGAGAGCGCCCGGACCCCCTGGCCCGGCCCCACCCAGCGAGTGGTCCACTGCCTGCTCCCCAGGAGCACCCGAGGCCCCGGCCCGCTGGGGTGCCCACCACCCTAAGATCCACCTCCCCGCGACTTGCCCCACAGAGAAGGGGACGCTCCGATCAACAAGGAAGTAGCCCCATCTCTCCACGGGCAACCGGGGGCCGGTGACACACGCAGGCTGCAGAGGCCGGCCGAGGGTATCAGGAGGTAAGGGGTACAGTTCTCACAACCCGCGCTGGGTCTCTCCGCTGGGGGCGCTGGGAGCACAGGCGGCTCCGGACTCCGGCCTCCGAGGGCCCTGCGGGCAGCCCGTGTGTAGTCGGAGGGGCAGGAATGGAGTCTGGGGACGGTACATTACTCTTCCTGAGGACGGGCCTGAGAAGGAAGAGAAACGGTTTTCTGGGGCCACGGGTCCGGTTCCGCACTTGTGGGTGCGCACCGCAGGGAGATGACTTCACTACAGGAGGTGGAAGCCACGCTGGTCCACGCGAGGCTCTGCTGGTTCTTCAGGGTCTGGAAGAAAGTGCCCCGGCAGCTCGAGGGGCAGCTCCCGCCGAGCCTCGGTCTGGTCCGCTCCTCCCTCTCTGACGATACCGCCGTTCGTACCACGACCCCGAGCGAGAAGTCGCTCGGTTTTTGCTGACTTTGGTCTCCGTAGGGAGTGACACGGCCGGTGTCCTGACTTGCTCCTGGGGGCCGTCGTTACCGATGAGGCTGGACGGCGTGTGCTCCCGGGCCCTTGGTGTTTTCCTCATTGACGGCTCGGCGTCCTTGACGTCATCTGAACGTGAGCGCTTCGTCCCGGCCCCACGCCTGGTCTCTGCAGCCTGCGTGTGTCTCGATGAGTGCGCATTCTTCAGTTCACGGCTGCTCAACGTACCAGCCTCTGCCTTGACGCTTTCTGCCCTTTCTGGCTTGTTTCGGAAAGCCCTGCTCCCCTAGGGACCTAGGTGCTTGCTCCTGTACGTCTTCTACCCAGCATTTCTGCCCGGACGCGAGACTCTTTTCTTAAGCCACAGCTGATTTTCCCGAGACGTCCACCGAGAAGGCCCTCTGCGGCGTCCCTGCGTGTCGGATCACGCGTCTGTTCTCGCTCCCCACCCGCCCCTTGTCGGCTCCGACGGGGACAGCTCCCCACCCGCTCCGTCTGGCTGTCCTGTGCCGCGAGCGTCCCCGCGAATTTGCAGCAGCTTGCCGCGTCCTGCAGCAAAACCGGATGGGTGCTGACTGGTCCTTGCGGGCACCGTCTTCGCCAGCCGCCCAGGCTCACGCTCCGTCAGCGCGGTGGTGCCGAGAAGCTAGAGCCTTATCAGCGTCTCCACGAAGTTCGCATCTGTTGTTAGATTTGTACAGGTTTTCACGTGTTTGTTCTGGGACACAGAGATGTAGCCGATTCTGTACGTCGTATTTGCATCCAACATACTTGCTACATGCTATTTCCTCTGGTAACGTGTGCACAATGCTTCCGGGTTTCCACGTTATCCTTTATGTCTTGTCTTTATTATTGATTCTTTATCCTGTTCATTTTCCCCTAATTTCTATGATGATACCATTTGTGAATAATCTGCTTTTCCTTTTTCCTTCCACTCCTTATCTCTCCATCTCCCTCTGTCTCTGTCTCTGTATCTCTGTCTCTCTGTCACTGTCTGTCTCTGTTTCTATCTCCTATCTCTGTCCCTCTGTCTCTTGGTCTCTGTCTCTGTCTCTGAGTCTCTATCTCTGTCTGTCTCTCAGTCTCTGTCTCTGCTTCTCTGTCTCTGCCTGTCTCTGTCTGTCTGTCTCTATCTCTGTATCTCTCAGTCTCTGCTTCTGCCTCTGTCTCTGTCTCTATCTCTGTCTGTCCCTGCCTCTCTGCCTCTGTCTCTATCTCTGTCTGTCTCTGCCTCTCTGCCTCTGTCTCTCTATCTGTCTCTATCTCTGTCTGTATCTCTCGGTCTCTGTTTCTGCCTCTGTCTCTGTCTGTCTCTATCTATCTCTGTCTCTGCCTCTCTGTCTCTGTCTCTGTCTGTCTCTGTCTCTCTCAGGAATGATAGGACAGCGGTTACTCCCCTACCGCACTGAGAAGAGAAGACGTTTTGGAAGGCATGCTTACCATTCCTGTCTTACGGGGAATGTCTTCTGTTTTACTGTTTGGGATTATATTTGCTGAAGGTTTTTTGAGCAAACTCTTGTTCAGTCAAGGAAATGCCTTTCTATTCTTAGTCTGCTGAGAGTTTTTTCATGGATGAACACTGAATGTTCTCAGATGTTTTTCTATACAGCGATCACGTGATTTTTCTTCTTTGCTTCATTAGCGCAGGCTCCAGGAAATTGGAATCGTGTGTCTCTTCGTGGCTGCACTCCCACTGCTCAGCACGGGGTGCTGGGTCTCCTGTGTGCCCGGCCTCCCCCTCTGGACAGCGGGTCCACCCCGGAGACCCGGGCCTCTGGGAGGGTCGGGACCCAGGCTGGAGGCGGCGCCGGGACCGGTGGGCAGCAG